GGAGATGGAGGGAGGCGGCAGTGAACAGTAGGAAACCAGGAGGAGAACAGGTGAGAAAGAAGGAGGAGTTAGGCATTGAGCTGGCTGGTGGCTATGCATATAGTTTTCTTTCTGATGTGAGGAAGTACAGACTCTCTTCTGGGTGGAAAAAAAACACCCAACTTGAGGGAGCAACATTGTAGGAGGTGAGAGACTATTTTCCTGTGGGTTTTCTTCAGTGACCAGGCAGCAAGCAGTAACAGACAGTGTGGCTGTTTTGGCCCAGACCACATTCTGAGGGCATTGGCATTTTTTCTTGGCCTCTTCTCCCTGTCCTGCTCCCATGTGAAGTGACAGCACTGCAGAGGCCTTTCACAACCTGGCCTCATTTCACCTCTCCCCTCAAGCAGCATTGAGGCACTGCAGAGGCCTTCCTTGACCTGCCTCTGGCCTCTTTCCCCCTCCCAGCAGCTGCCCTACGCAGACTGGCCTGTCTCCATTGCAAACAGCATCTGTGATGGCTGCAAAATCTGAACGGTCCCTCTACTCATGCTCATTCACTTATTGAAAAAGGCCACTAGTCAATCTCAATGCCCTCTGTCTGTTGGTGCTCCTCATTCCACTACACAGTGTTTGGTGTTTTGGTGGCAGTTGTGCCCTTTCCTCCTTCAACCCCAACAGCAGCCAGACAGCTGGTGGGAGGGCACTGTTTGCAGAGGCACTTCATATATTTATTTAGAGCATTTGTTCCCTGCTGCTCAGCCAAAAAGTCTCCCAGGGTGGCTTAAATACAAGACACTTGAATAAAGTAGACAGAGTCCAGAGAGAAAAGCCTGGCAAAAGTTAACCAAATGAAACAGAATATAGCTTCATCAGGAAGGAACAGAGAGCTTTTATCTTTTTGCAAGGCCTTGCATGGCGTAATGCAACTAAACATCCAGAAGAAAGTTGCCTTGCAGCTAGGCAGCCAGTGCATGCTGCAGTAATCTCAATGAAGATAATGGCAGCTTTCTTGGTTGCTATGCAGCACCTCCCCACCCCCCACTTGGTTAGTTGACTTACTGACAACAGAAGTTACCTCTAGATTACACACTGAATAATATCTGCTATTGTACTTCCAACTGGAGAACAGCACTCTTGCTAGGCGTGGCCAGCACTGCAGTCCACAAAAAAAAAATATTCAGGGTTCCACAGATCTGGGGCTCAGACTTCTCCTGGGCCACCCAGTAACAACACTCGCAGTAAGGTTTTCTTTCGGTGGCAGAGCCAAAACTGTGGAATGTTCTGCCTACTGAGGAAATTTAAATGCTTTTAGAAAGAACGTGAAGACATACCTTTTACATCAAGCTTTTGGAGGTGAGGGCAGATGCAAGCTGAGAGCTCTGTTGTCAATAGAAACATTCTATTGATGTTTAAATTGGTTTCAGAAATATGTGTCAGTGTGTTTTAATATGTTGTACAGCACCTGGTGACTGTAGGGTGAAGGGCAGTATAAAATATCTAAATGAACAAAATAGATAAATTTGCTGCACAGATTGCTCCCTTTGCTGGGAGAGTTTCCATGCCACATAATAGTGCCATATAATAGTGGCAAGCTGTATATATTTCAACCCAATGGTGTTGAGCAGGTATTTTGGGTAGCCTCTCTGTGTTGGCCATAATATGTAGGCCAGTTGGAAAGGTGTAAACAAATTCCCATTGGTTTTAATATCTGTGAATCATATACCTAAATAGTTATGAATCACACACTTAATTAACTGCTAGGTAAAAATAGTAGCAGAACATATTGAGGGGTTGGTTATCAAGTTGCTTAGAGTATAGCGTACTGATATAAAAGCATCCATCTTAGACTTCTCTGAACAAAGGCCCTTAAAAAAATCTCACAAATAGCCAAAGAGTCAAATGCTTCCTTGAATAGAAAATAAAAAAGTTTCCTGTTGAAAAATGTGACCTTATTTGTTGTTTAATATTCAGACTTCTTATAAATTTTATGGTGGCATCTTCATGGCTTGTCCATTGAAAATCTATCAAGGATATAAAATTGTTATAATCTTGACAAGGCAACTTATAAATTTAAAATATGAATCACAGTAAAAAGCTGGGCCAGTATATGATAATATGATTTGGTTTGGGACTTTTTTGGCCCGAGGACTGTGCTGTTTCATGTACAACCTTCCAGAGGCCACATGCCAGTGGCAAAAGTGTGCAGAGAATGAATGTGCTTCTTACCTTTGTACAGGATGCTACATTCCTGCTGCACAAAAATTGGAGGTTTCTACACATGAAACTCTCTGTCCAGACAAGTGTGTTGTTGTTCTTCAGTGTTGCACCCCCCCCTCTATGTGGGTGGGTGGGCACAAGCGAAGCAGAGAGAGAGAGAGGGAGAGGGAGGAGAGAGAGAGAGAGAGAGAGAGAGGGTGGTTTTGTGGAAAAGTCTACAGAAAAAATACCCTGCTGCTGCTGGTGTTAGGAAAATGCTTGCTGTGGAAATCAAGGCATTAATGTATTTTGTATTTTGTGGGGGGGTGTCTGTACCTCAACTCTTTACAGTCTGATCTCACAAAGCAGCAGAATGGATTCAAAATAACTTTGAAAACTTTGGAAGACAACTTGCTGTCCCGCCTCTCTTCTGCTTCAGGGAACTTCCTAGGGGATACAGCTCTAGTGGAAAATCTAGAAGTCACCAAACAGACAGCTGCAGAAATAGAAGAAAAGGTAAAAATGCAAACTGGGTCTGGGTGGATATGCAGGGAACAACCCCTGCGTATGCATTTTGTCTTAAGAGCTAGGAAGTTCATTAAAACTTTTAAAATGTATATTAGGTCATCTTGTTCTGCTTGGAGACTAGAAATCATTAGGAGGCCACACACATTTTAGTTCTGGTCAAGTCTAGGAATTTTCCTGCTTCAGAATAGATGGGCATTAAATGGGCAATTCAAAGTGAAGTACAAATAGCAGTATCCAATGTAAAGACCATAAAACTTTAGCATTATAATAAGATGCCTTAAACCATTCCAGTTTAATACCAAGGCTTTTTATTTAACTTCAGTTAATTCAACATGCATTACATTAACTCAATTAAACTTGGATTTTAGCAGAGGCGGCATGACAGGATCCACTGAAGTTTATGTGGTCCAGATTAAATTGGCAGGAATTCCAGCAGTTTGGCACTGATGTGGCTCCCCTGGGTAAAAAAATCTGTCTTTTAAAACCATCCTCTTTGATAGTTGTCTGACACACATAATTTGCTTTGCAAATTTCAGTTGCATCTTTCACATACAAGTAGTTTTCTGCAGCCATTGGAGCATATAATTCCAAGCTGTATCTATGTGCAGACTACAGAAGTTCCCATGCTGTTTGTATGGGTGGTTCTTAAACCCATACATGATGTATGTTTGTAGAGGCTAGTGCATCATCAATCTTCTTTTGGAATTCCTTGCCAAGTAATTTTGTAAGAAGGCCTTGTACACTTCTGTACTATAAGATGTGGGAAAATATTATTACTATTCATTTCATTTCATTTCTATACTGCTTTATATTTTAAAGAAAAAAAAATCTCCAAGTGGTTTACAACCTAAATTAAAACCTCAAATACAACAATCTAGGATAAAACATTACAGTGGTGCCTCGCAAGACGAAATTAATCCGTTCCGCGAGTCTCTTCGTCTTGCGGTTTTTTCGTCTTCGAAGCACGGCTATTAGCGGCTTAGCGGCTATTAACGGCTTAGCGGCTTAGTGGCTTTAAGAAAAAGGAAACAAACTCGCAAGAACTCGCAAGACGTTTTGTCTTGCGAAGCAAGCCCATAGGGAAATTTGTCTTGCGGAACGACTCAAAAAACGCAAAACCCTTTTGTCTAGCGAGTTTTTCGTCTTGCGAGGCATTCGTCTTGCAGGGCACCACTGTACTGAAGAATGCCCTTGCCTGCTGTGCCCTATACCACCCCCGAATTTGTGGGGATGGGGGCACTAGGCAGAATGCCCTCCTGTGGGATCTCGGCGCTCCTGGACGCTGTCTCTGATCCACGCCACTAGCTGCAAGAACTTCAGAAGAAACAATTAGGAGGAAGCGAATGCACATATTTCAAGGAAGGAGGGGGAGTAAAGACTGCTAACTGAAGAGATCTCTGATAAACAAGACGAGTCGGAGGAACAAGAATAAATCATGAGAAGATACGCCAAGACTCGATATGGCAAAGGGACTGATGGGGGAGGGGGGAAAAACTTTCCTTTCTTTCTTCTATGTGATTAAACAAGAATTCCCCCCCTCACAAGTCAGAAATGTCGTTTTAATGACTTAAGCTGTGGATTTAAGACTGTGTGGAGATAAATTTTCTAACCAAAGCATGTTTTAAGAAGACCGTGGAATGTAGAAGAGCTTTGGAATGCCGCAGTTAAAAATACCGTCGCCATGTTGGCAAGCTCTGTCGGAGGACTTGAGTCTGGGAGGAGGAATAGAGCTGCTTTTGTATTGTGTATGAGACTCCTCAGAGGGACTTAAGAACGACAGTTTGCGAGATAAATGATGGAAAGAGCGATGTTATTTATGAAAGCGATGATATATGGAAACCATCTCGATATGAGAATTGGACGAACGGAAAAATTCACACAGGATTACAATTGGGGTTTATCTGCTTAAGGAGATTATCAGAAGAGATCATAAAGAAAAAAATAAAAAAATATACGAACAAGATGAGATGTGGAAACAGCAAGATAAGACTGGATAGAATTATGAACTTTATTTGGACTGATTTGGATATTAACGCAGCAGCAAGAAGATGATCAGAATCCCCCTTCGGAACTTGAAATATGGGTCCCCTCAACAAAAATTTAAAATTCGGCTTTGTAATTCGGAATTTATGTGATGTGATTTGATTTGATTGGTTGGTTAATAAAAATTATTTTTTTAAAAAACATTACTGAAGAAAGTCAAATATAAAGTATACATTCAAAGCAACATAGAATCATAGATTTGGAAGGGACCACAAGGATCATCTAGTCTAACCCTCTGCAATGCAGGAATCTTTAGCCCAGCATGGGGCTTGAACCCATGACCCTGAGATGAAAAGTCTCATGCTGTACCAAACTTAAATATTATCTTAAAGGTTTCAAAATAAAACATTACAAAGGAGACCAGCTACAGAATTCAGATTCAATGTATCAAAGGTTTTTTTTGTTTTTGTTTAAAAAAATCTTAAACATTTCCCAAGAAAACATTTCAGACATTGGTTTCTGAGGAACTTGCAAATGAATGAAGAAATCTGTTGGAAATCAGGATAGTATCCAGCAAAGGAATTCCATTACTACAAGGACTTCTGGCCACACAGCAAAACTGTCCCTCTCCTCTCTCCCCAAACCTGCTCTGGATCATATCTTGGATATGATCACAGTCTAGGAAAATAAGAAAACTATGTTTACAGGAAATACTTGCTTGACAATAAAGATTCTACAGGAAATACTTTTTTGATAGCTTGATAGCAGGCATGCTCTTGCGTCTCAGCAAGAGAGACATAAAATATGTCTACTCTCCCAAGGTGAGGATAAAGAAGGGTGTGGGAAATGAAGTGAGCAACCCTAAGTATCAGCCTAGCATCTGTGGGAAGGTCAGTACAGGTTAGGTCAGAAATGACAGTCTAAGAAACTTCAGAGTTCCCTCCCACCCTCTCTCTCTTCTTTTTCATATAGACAAATCATCCTCCAGTGCAAGGTGAGTTGCATCCTAACACTTCTAACAGGGGGAAACCCTGAGAGGAGAGAGTGGGGAGGGAGGGGGAGTTTTGTTGTGCAGCCAGATACCACCTTAAGTTTCTTGATGACCAAGTTGCAAGTAAGATGACATTTGAACACCTTTCCTCTTCATTCCTTGGATTTTACATTACTGGAGCTTTTCAGTGCCAGAAGAAGCAGGCAGGTGAGGAGAGAGGAGGCACTCCTGACACACGTGGCATGTTGTTATGTCTAAACCAATCAGCTGAGCTTATGTCATCTCTATGGAAACAAAGTTTGCACGAACGAATGTGGTTGTCTTACATCTTCATGGCTGGATTTGCCTTTCCTTTCCTCTAGGTCCAGGAGTCGAAGGTGACAGAAACAAAGATTAATGAGGCAAGGGAGCATTACCGTCCTGCAGCAGCTCGTGCCTCCTTGCTGTACTTTATCATGAATGACCTCAATACCATCCATCCCATGTACCAGTTTTCCCTGAAGGTACAGCATTTATGTGTTTGGGGACTTCCTCCAACTTCCCAGACAGTTTAAATTGTGCTAAATCTTACGAGTCAAATTGTAGGAGTACCCCATTGCTTTTCAAATATAGTGACAGCTGGATTTCAGTGGCTCTTTACTTTCTCTGTACTTTAACTGCTAACCATTTGTACTACAGGATTGCTGGTTTTGACCTTTAAAGCTCTAAGCAGCCAGGGACCAAGAGATCTCAGGAATTGCTTCCTCCCCTATGAACCCACTCAATATCTTTCTTCGCTTTTTTGCTTCTGAACAAGAGGGAGAAGCATTTGGGTTGCAGCACTTAAATTTTGGTAGCATGTGAATCCTTTACCTGTTTTTAATGTTTTCTCTAAAACTCTTTATATTATGACCTTCAGGTGGTTTTCTTTACTCCTGCTATTTTCTGGTTCATTTTCTGGTTGTTATTTCACCGTTGTTGTTCATCATCATCATCATCCTTTTTCCCTAGTAGGGACTCAAGGCAGCTTACAGATAAAATAAGAGCTAAAAACGTTTGTTTTGATTCATTTAAAAACAAACATCTCTATACAGATAATTTCAATAAAAACATCACGGCACCAGCTCTTTCATTAAAAGCAGTCATTTCCCCAAACACTGTTGGAATAAGTTCTTCACCTGCTGGTGGAAGGACAACAAGGAAGGAGCCAGTCTAGCTTCTCTAGGGACGGAGTTCCAAAGTCTGGGAGCAGCCACCGGGAAGGCCTTCTCTCATATCCCAACCAAGCATTCCTGTGAGGGTGGTGGAACTGAGAGAAGAACCTCCCCTGATGGTATCAAAACCTGAACAGGTTCATATGAGGGAATATGGTCTTTCAGATAGCCTGGAGCTAAGCTGTATTGGGCTTTATAGGTCAAAACCAGCATTTGAATTGTTTCTGGAAACAGGCCAATATCGAGTGGAGCTGTTGTAACAAGGGTATTGTATGCTCCCTATAACCCTATTTTAACCTCCATATTTTAACCTTGTATTTTAGTTCATTATGCTGTGCCATTTTTGCTTTGAAGACTGCCTCGGATATACCTAGGTGTAGAAAGGCAGGATGAAAATATTTAAATAAATAATTCAGCCTTACAAAAGAAATCCCTCTTTCAGAAGCAGCATTCTGTAAAGTAAAGACAGTGTGATCTGTGACAGGTTGTGTGTGCTTTCTGAGAACAGATTTCTTGAGAAAAGCCATGGCCATACAATGACTTCCCTCAATGTGCCTGTGCCCGTAACAGACCAATTTTAGTATCTTCTAGTTACTGATACACCCATTTAATATAGCCAACATCCCACACAGAATCTTTTTACAGATCATTGTGTCCTAGAGCTTTTACGGACTTAAAATAAGAAAGAAATGTGTGTGCTGTGTGACACTTTGGTTACAAAAGATCCACAGTCTTCCCTTCAGGTTGCAGAGAGCGTGATATCAAGCTGCAGTTACATACTGGTAATGAAATGTGATTCTCCCCTTGAGCTAGAAGAACCTCATTTGCCACTGAGAGTTTTCTGTGTAAGATGGTTATACGAACGTCACTGACACATCCTAGGGTGGTGCCTTTTGATGGCAAGATGGGCAACCTTCCCATGCCTGTGCAATCTTTTGCATATTCAAATGTTGTGCATTTCGCTTTTCATTTTCAAAAGTGCTTTCCAGACTGTTACGTGGCTTGTGTGTTCCTGCAGTCTTCTAAAAAAAATTAAAAAGAGGGTGAGGTATCTCACTTCAGGGTTTGGATGCAGCCTTTGAGGCCCCTTCTTCTGGCCCGTTGGGCTCTCACTAGGCTGCATCTCCTCTCCTCTCCCTTGGCCACACCCGTCCTAGCCCTGCTCTGAGTCCTCCTTGAGTGGAAGGTGTCCTTGGAATACCCCTTGTTTGGCTGGATGAGGCTGTATGTGCATGCAGAACCTTTAACTTTAACATGCCTGGAATGTCAGGGTCAAATATTTTGCTTCTGGGCCTGTTCACTACTAGCACCTGGCCTCCAGAAGGTTCCTCATCAGGGAATGTGGTCTTTGGACTGAAGAAGGTTCTCATGCATCTTTTCCTGTCATGTAAGTAGCCCTGGAGAGGGGAGTAACCTGGCCCCAGATTGTGTGCCTTTTGGGGCTGCAAATCATACCAAGAGGAAACCTTTTACAGCCTCCAGGACGTGATAGGTTAGTTAAGAAGTCTCTTTGAATCAATTGATTCAGTAGGTTTGAAGGTACTTGTAGAAATCTCCTGAATCCAAAGATAAAGGCTGCTTTACAGAAGATTGCTGAAACATTGGTTTCAAAATTTATCATATCAACCCCCCACGAGAATTAAATAGGCCTTTGCAATAACTCAGAGAGAGCTTTTAAGAACAATGAAGGAAAAAACTGTCCTGTGAGTAATATAGTGATATTGCATGTCTAGACGTTGTGTTGCTATAAACTAGTAGTATTTTACTTGCTGAGGCTCTTCAAATCCTAAGAAACAACTATTTTCAAGCTGTAATTTAACTTGAGAACCAGTTTTTACCATCTGAAAGCACATTCAGTGATTTTTCCTATAGTATTTTTTTCCTTATTCAAGTGATGAAGACTTACAAGTGTTTCTTTCTCATTTGTTTTTCTCTTTCTAATAATCCCAACTCTAGCCTTTATGAAACATTCAGTTCCTATGGCCTGGGACAGCATGTGTCCATTGGTTTGGCTGCAGGAAATATTTTTTTATTTGAGATTTTTACTTGACTTTATCTTCTGAGTTTCCTCTAGAGAGGATATAATGAGAGGAGCATTTTCCCCGGGGAGGCCAGTGTCCTTCAGATAATCATTTTCAGAGAAGTGTCATTTCTGTTGCCTAGGGAAAATGAATATTTTGTCTGTCTTTGAAAACCTTGTGTTACAGATATTTATATCTTCATTTACTTTCTTTATCTGGTTTGGGCTGGGCATTCTGTTCTGTGGCATATCTTTTAAAAAGACATGGAAAAAACAGAATGTGTGTCTTAGTTGGAAATCATTAATGAAATGCTCATATTATTTTCCAGAAACAGACAAACTTACATTTGACAAATTTTGTTTCAATTGCTCTATAATATAAAGACTGTGAAGTTACAACATTCAGATATAACTTGAATCACCCCTTAAATCAGAGGTGATGTGCTCCTGTTTGGAGACTGGATCTGCAGATTTTCTGCACACACACCAAGTAAGATCCCACCAGTTTTGGCAATGGGGACAAACATAAATTAAACACTGTGATGGGGTGGGCAAAGAACAGTACCCTGATGAGGATGCAAATCACCCCCTCTGCAGTCATTGGGCTGATCATTTGGTGGATGGAGAGGGAACAATAACACCTACCCTCAGTTGACCTGTACAGGTGAGGAGCCAGATGCTTTGTGCATGTGAGAGTGTGCATGCAAGACAATGGAGTGGCCCCATCCACTTTAAGCCCCATCCACTGCTGCCATACAGCCCCTGGAGGATTGGCCAAGGGCAAATGTGGCCCTTGGACCAAAAAATGCTAGCCTCCCCTGCCTCAAATTTTCAGCTATAAGACTAAAATAACAAGAGATACACAACTGATGAAATGACTGATGGGAAAGAGTGCTGTGGCAGAACCAAAGGACAGGACAGGATGTCTGAAGTTGGGAAAGAGGCAGTGTGTTCACTGGATAGGGAGCCTGATGATGGGTCAGGGTGGTGAAACAATGTGGGGTGAAGGCAAGAAGGGAGGGACCAAGGAGAAAACTGAGCTAGGGCAAAACTGAATATGAGTTCCAGTGACAGCAGGGATGGTGATCGATTGGCAAGAAGAGAACGAACAGGCTAGGGAGCTTCAGGGAGTTAGGAGATTGACAGATCTTTACTTGGAAAGCATGTGGCTTTAAGAATG